GAGTCCAAACTGAAGTCAGAAACCAGGAGTCAGGGGACCAGGGCTGGAATGGACTGGAGAAAAGATGGGAACAGGGCTGGGCACAAGGCAGGAGCAGGACTGGAGCAAGGCTGGGAACAAAGAGGTACAGCAGCAATCACAGCTGTGGGCATGAGCATTGAGCAGCCATTGGCCTAATGCTGCTGCTGGGCTTAAGAGTACGTCTATTGGTTCCTCCAGCCAGCTGGGCAATCAGGCCAATCAGGTGATTCTGCTGAAAGTGACACCTGATTTCATAACTGGAGTAAATCAGGCGTTGCTGGGTGGAGGCACGAGTGGAATTATTGTAAGTGAACACTATGTATGGTGATCATCCTGGTGGTAATTTAAGAAGAAGTGGAGATATAGCTCCAAGATCTGGTTAACCTGTTCCATCTCCCCACTGGTCTGAGAGTTCTCCATGCCCAGGAACTTGAAGAATCTGAGCCAAAAACAGGATTTTTGGACCTCGGTCTGACATGATATCAGTGAGCAAACTATGAAATCATAAAACATTTTCCAAGTAGAGACAAGCAGTTTCTTGGGCAGTCAGGGTTGCATGGAAAGGAATTAAATGTGCCATGTTGGTTAGAAGATCAACTGAAATTCTGAGCTGGACAGGGACTCAGTGGTATTTAAGGTCTGACACAGCTGGGTGGCAAATGCATCCTGAGGCAATATAGATTGGATGGATGAAGGACATCAGGCTACTGTCCACCATGCTATTAACAACATTAAACTATTTAAGGACCGTGGAAGAGAGTTCTGTGTCAGTTTCAAGGTATTCATCCTTGTGAGGATAGGGGATCAACCTTCCCATTTCTTACCTCAGGGCACTACATCACCATGAAGTTGAACCTGGAAAAAAATAGGGACCAATTAATCTGGTGTTGGTTAAGGTGCTTGGCCAGGCAGAGGAATTTTAAGTTCTTGTGGTCCATAAGAACCTGCACTGGGAACTGAGATCCTTCCAGTGGGTGGCACCATTCCTTGAAGGCCATCTCTATTGCTAGTAGTTCCTTATCCCAGAAATTGTAATTCCTTCCTGCCAGGGTTAGTTTACAGTAGTAGAAAGTGTAGTGGTAAAGTTGTCCTTGGGGGTCCCTTTGCTGGGATAGTATGGCTCCAGCTGTTACATTCAAACTAGTAGACAGAGGTCGGGTACTTGAGCTGGCCTACAGTATCTATCACCTGTGGAGTAGAGATGTCAGTTCCTCTCACCTCGTGAGGCAATTCCCCAGGATTACCTTCCAGTAACCTCAAAGGGTCACTAGTCCCAATTGCCAGTTGCTTTGGGAAGGGTGTCAGCAACATTAGCCATCCGACGGCCCGATGTCTGCCCACAAGTCAGGCCCACCAAAACTATTTGAGCTGGCGCCTGCTTAACCACAGAGATATCCCCAATCACCGATCTCCCCTCTGTAGAATTCCCTTCCCGAGTCGCTGGACCGATTGCAACCACAATGCAAAATAAAAGGGTAAACTAAATAAAATCACTAGGTCAGGACTGACAAAGGTTAGCTACTCCTCTGCCAGTCCTGCCACGGTAACCAATACCTGTTACATTCAAACTAGTAGACAGAGGTGGAGTACAGATGTCAGTTCCTCCCACTGCCCTCTTAGCTTTAATAAAGAAGAGAGAGGTATTTTTTGAAAACATAAAGAAGATTTATTAAGGAAGGGAAAAGGGGAATAGCAATCTAGATAAAAGTGATAAATTGCAATTGTGGTTGCCCCAGAAAGGTAGGCATGAAGCCAGGTCCCTCACAACTCCTTTGGCAATAACTTCCAACAGAATAAACCCTAAACAAAAACATCCCAAAACTATACTGTGTCATGACAGATGACCTCGGTCTGGATTAGGTAGCTAATGGTGATATCTGTCCTTGCAGCTCAGGTTCATCGGATCCTGGACCTATGACTGACCGCGCAGCACGATTATGGCTGAGGGCAGGAGGAACAGTGGACCATCCATGTAAAGGAAACAACGCTGGAACCAGGATCAGGTAGGTTGTCTCAGGTGTTAGATGACATTGACTCAGGTATAAGATGCTGTTCAGATCGATGGGATAGCTCTTGATCCGTAGAGGTGATCCTTGAAGCCTGCACAAAAAAGTCTGATACCGGCTGCCTCTCAGATGAACAGCCCATCGGTTAGGGCGTGCAGTCCTTTTATATATTCTATGGCGCGAACATTCCAGGTTTGAACTGATCTGAACTGGAACCCTGGTGGCCATTGCTCCTTCCTACCACAAGTGACCAGAAGAAATGCGACAAATATGGAGTTGGAGTTGTTAATTGTCCAGACTTCATTTTGAATCACAGGGTCCATTAGCCACATTACCTTAATTAACACAGTTCCTTATAACTATACGTTAAAAATACATTAATTTTAGTATAGACATCAACATGAACATAACTGAGCATTTATACAGGGAAACTTTCCTACACAGTGGAGAAGATGGATGCATCATCTTTTACTGTACATGACAGGGTGAGGTCCGGGCACTGAGGTAAAAGCCCTCCTCAAGTGGTCAAAGGCAAGTTGGGCTTCCGGAGACCAGACAAGCAGTTTCCTTCTAGGGGAGTGCAATCAGCAGAGCTACCAGATGGAAAAAGTCTCAAATAATCCACCAGTAAAAGCTGGAAAAGCTCAGGAGCCATTGCACCCTTCATGTGTCCGTCAGGGCTGTCCAGTTAGAGATGGTGGCAACCTTGCAGGGATCCACAGTTAGTGCCCCAGGGGAAATAATATAACCTAGGAACTTCGTTGTATTCTGATCAAATTGGCTTCTCCAGGATGCAGTGCACATGTTGATTATGAAGAGTCTGGTCTTCAGAAAAGATGAGGTTATCATCAAGGTATATCACAACAAACTGATCCAGCATATCCCTAAAGATATTGTTGATAAAATGTTGGAAGGTCACTGGGGCATTACATAGTTCAAAGGACTTCATCAGATATTTCGTATGGAAGGCAGCCTTCCACTCATCCCCTTCCCACATCCAAGCCAAGTAATTGGCTCCATGGAGATCTAATCTGGTAAACACCCTAGTGGAGTGAAGTATCTCAAAAAGTTCATTGATATACAGCAGGGGTACTGATTCTGGGTGGTTATTTTATTCAATGCCTGGTAGTCCACACAAGAACAGAGAGCCATCTTTCTTGGCTATAAAAAAGTTCTGGGCCCCAGCCAGTGATGTGGAAGGGCAGATGAACCCCTTTTCTGAGTTCTCTCAGAGATAGTCTCTGAGTGCCTATAGTTCCAGTCCAGTTCAAACCTGAACCTCAGCTCCAGGTCTATAGGACAATCATAGTGCCGATGAAGGGGCAGAATGTCAGCCTTCTTCTTGTCGAAATATCTGCAAACTCAAGGTGTTTGGCTAGCATCCCAAAGGCTGCTAGGGAGACTTTTGGGACCTACAGGGACCCCTTCAAGCTGGGTCCCCCTGTTCCTAAATCTGGCCAATCAGGTGATTCTGCTACATGTCAGCTACGATTCAGTTACGAGTCCCCTGTTGCTCATTAGGCAGGTGGAGCTGCAAGCCCTAATTCCGGATATGCTATTGTAAATGCACCATGCCCTCTCCTCTGCTCCCTTCTCCGGTTCCCATAGAATTATGATTCACATTTAAGATCTCAATCCTTATCTACAAGGATATCTAAAATACTACCTACATTATAGAATGAAAACCATGGTCAACAACGTCGTTCCTCAGGCACAATGATACCCTCTACCATAAGGTAAATGCTCATCTGTACGAGACAGAACTTTCTCAGTTTTTGGTTCAAGCCTGTAAAATGAATTCCCAAGGAACCAAGGACCCTCACAAACCTTACCATCTTACGGTCCATGCCAAGGAACATTTCTTTAACCTTGTCTTCTCTAACATAATAAATAGCAACAGGTATATTTAGAAAAAAATCCCTGCCAAAACAGGACATTCCACTGCACGCACTTCTCCCCTGGTGAGAGAATAAATAACATGTGACAGATGTTGGTCATGTTGCAGCTGATAGGAATATACATAGCTAATGCACGGATTATTGCACTGTGCAGGAGGGAGTAAAATCAAGTCCAGTCAGGACCACCTTGACCCCCCACCCCAGCATCCCTCTGTATACATGAATGTGCAGAAGAGATTCCAAACACACTTTGAGGTCACTAGGACCCACCTAGTGCCACCCCTAAGTACATCCTGTGGCAATTGGGGACAACTGCAAGAATAGCCTGTCAGAGACTCTAACCAGTAGGAACAGGTGCAGCGAAAGCAGGGATCCCTGGACATTCCAATCAAAACTGCAGAATGTTCTGACTTTCTCTGTCTTGTGTGGATTGGCTATTTGTTCCAGCTCAATCCACCTGCCTCCATCAGTCTCTTCACCTCAGCTTCAGTCCACACCTGCTCTTCCTTTTCTGCCCCACTTCCCTCTTTTTCCAGTTAGCTGATCCTCTCCTAAATAAACCCATGCGAAAAATCATAGCACTAACATGATGTTTACCTTCCATCACATTGTTCACTCTGCTTGAATTTTTACCTCTTCCCCCACCCAGTGTCTTGTCTATTTAGACAATATTGTCTCATCATTTCCTTGTACTCCTTCATCTGGCTGTATCCATCTGTTTTAATTTGCCTTATATTTGGATTGCAAGCTCTTTGAGGCAGAGACTGTCTTTTGTTCTGTGTTTGTAAAGCACCTAATACAATGGGGTCCTGGTCCATGTCTGGGCTCATACGCAGTACAGTAGTACAAATAATTAATAACAATAAATAGGTAATGAGTGCAGTGTAAGAACGTACAGAGACTAGAAAGTGAGCTCCACAACAGACATGAGATACAAGATAGCAGTTCAGCCACAATCAAAGTCAAAAGCATGTGGGATATCCAATACTCTAGAGAACTTCAACACAAGCAAAATATAGTTTAACTGAATGTTAGCCCCTTGGGGAAAATAAAACAAAAACAGAGTGTTACTTACGTTATAACAATAACAATTAAATCCATAATGTTCCATGGATCGCGAAGGAAGGTGAATTGAGTCCAAACAAATCCACTTGCTAATACTTTTATCAATATTTCACAAGTGTAAATACCAGCAAAAGTGAACCTGAGAAGCAAAGTGTTCAAGAAAGCATATATTTTAGTATTTAAATCAGAAGGGTTTCAGGGACACCATGTTTTCTTATGTTGTGAGCTATTCCCTCTGTGGATGTAGGGAATTTATGAGAAATGGGACAATACATATGCAGGCTACTGCCAGCACTGTAATGTGTTCAAGTTTGAATATGGCATTCCCTTCCTGAATTCGTAGCCTGACTTGCATGCAGTTGTGGAAACGGTATGCACAAATTTGTGCATATTTCTGTACTGTACTTCAAGCCTATTTACAAACATAAAAATTAACAATACAGATTTCTTTATCTTGAACAGTCTAAAAGGATTGTTCCTCTTTTAAATATACACTCAAAAAAACAAAAATAAACCAAAGGACCCAACCTCCCACCAGCAACAAACTAAGTCATATATAAATATGGTAACCCCAAAATGCTAGAGGTGAAATCCAGGCCCACTGCAGTCAATGGCAAAACTTCCATTGACTTCAGTGGGGTCAAGATTTCGCCCCGAAAAACTAACTATGTTACTTTGGATGTAGTGCAGAGTTACAAAATGTAACAAGACACTATAATAATCTTTGCTTTATAATATTATGGGCTAAATTGAGGCTGTACTCACCACAGGTGCACAAAGCAGCAGGGATGGTGCAAGGAACTTTCCCCTCTTTATAGCCCCCATATAAGGGCTGACGATAACTGCAGCTCTGAGCTCCCCAAAGTATAAGGTATGCTGAGGGTTAGAACTCCCATGTGGAACTGCTTCTCCAAACGGGGTGAGGAAGAAGTGGACATCTTGCATCAGCCAGCAAAGTTAGGTGGCAGAGAAGCTGTGCTCTCAAGGAGCTCCCAAGCTGTAGTGACTCCCAAATCCCCAGAGGCCAGGAAGGAAGACTCCACACACCACATCCTACCCTCATTTGATCTATTAGTTCAGTTCTTTATTCTCCCTACTTTGGAGCAGGAGAAAGAGTAAATAAATAGCAGTAGGAATACTTACTCAATGTTTATGTTTATCTTTGCAAAGTTAGCTGGAATCATCATTACACAATTCAGTAGAACAGTGAATATAATAAACGCAGTAAACCATGTAAATAATGAGTTAAGGAAAGAATATTATATTTTAAAATAATAGACATTCGTTACAAACTCAGTTTTCACTGTATTTAAGAAATTTTCAGGTATAAAGTTTTCCATTCCTGAGAACTTCATGTCCAACAGTCTTCACATTGAGTTGTCCCTCCTTCCATAGCACTTGGAGGCATGTCAGGTCTTTGCTGAGATGGGGCTAATTTAATGAGAAAAAACAACAACAAATTATCCACATTTGTAACAAAGCCTTTCAATCAAAAAAGAAAAAAAAATCTTCCTTGAGTCCTACCGGATGTTGTTCATGTCCAATGGGTTGACCCACATGAACATGAACATGTTGCTTTGATTCTGAAAGTTCCTTTCCCAGACCTGAAGAAGAGATCTGTGTAGCTCAAAAGTTGTCTCTCTCACCAACAGACGTTGGTACAATAAAATATATTATCTCACCCACCTTATCTCAATTGAAGACAGTTGGCAGTTTTTCAGAGAGACATTATCAAGGGCACAAGAGCAAACTATCCCACTGCATAGGAAAGATAGGAAGTATGGCAACAGACCTCCTTGGCTTAACCAGGAGATCTTCAATGATCTAAAACTCAAAAAAGAGTCCTACAAAAAGTGGAAACTCGGTCAAATTACAAAGGATGAATATAAACAAACAACACAAATATGTAGGGACAAAATTAGAAAGCCCAAAGGCACAAAATGAGACCAAACTAGCTAGGAACATAAAGGGTAACAAGAAAACATTCTAAAAATACATTAGAAGCAAGAGGAAGACCAAGGACAGAGTAGGCCTGTTACCCAATGAGGGGGGGAGACAATAACAGAAAATGTGGAAATGGCAGAGGTGCTTAATGACTTCTTTGTTTCAGTCTTCACCGAGAAGGTGAGTGGCGTTTGGATGTGTAACACAGAGAATGCCAGTGAAAATGAGGTAGGATCAGATCTAAAATAGGGAAAGAACAAGTCAAAAATTACTTAGACAAGTTAGATGTCTTCCAATCACCAAGGCCTGATGAAATGCATCCTAGAATACTCAAGGAGCTGACTGAGCAAATATCTGAGCCATTAGCAATTATCTTTGAAAAGTCAGGGAAGACGGGAGACCTTCCAGAAGACTGGAAAAGGACAAACATAGTGCCTATCTATAAAAAGGGAAATAAGGACAACCCAGGGAATTACAGACCAGTCAGCGTAACTGACCTGTACCTGGAAAGATAATGAAGCAAATAATTAAGAAATCAATTTGCAAACACTAGAAGATAATGAATTGATAAGTAACAGTCAGCATGGATTTTTCAAGAACAAATCATGTCAAACCAACCTGATAGCTTTCTTGGACGGGTAACAGGCCTTGAGGATAGGGGGGAAGCGGAAGATGTGGTATATCTTGACTTTAGAAAGGCTTTTGATACTGTCTCGCATTACCTTCTCATAAACAAACTAGGGAAATACAACCTAGATGGAGCTACTATAAGGTGCATGCATAACTGCTTGGAAAATCATTCCCAGAGTAGTTATCAGTGGTTCACAATCATTCTGGAAGGGCATAATGAGTGGGGTCCCACGGGGACCGGTTCTGGGTCCGGTTCTGTTCAATATCTTCATCAATTATTTAGATAATGGCATAGAGAGTACACTTATAAAGTTTGTGGACAATAGCAAGCTGGGAGGGGTTGCAAGTGCTTTGGAGGATAGGATTAAAATTCAAAATGATTTGGACAAACTGGAGAAATGGTCTGAAGTAAATAGGATGAAATTCAATAAGGACAAATGCAAAGTACTCCACTTAGGAAGGAACGATCAGTTGCACACGTACAAAATTGGAAATGACTGCCTAGGAAGGAGTACTGTGGAAAGGGATCTGGGGGTCATAGTGGATCACAAGCTAAATATGAGTCAACAATGTAACACTGTTGCAAAAAACCAAACATCATTCTGGGATGTGTTAGCAGGAGTATTGCAAACACTGATTAGGCCTCAACTCGAGTATTGTGTCCGGTTCTGGGAGCCACATTTCAGGAAAGATGTGAACAAATTGGAGAAAGTCCAGAGAAGAGCAACAAAAAGGATTAAAGGTCTAGAAAAGGTGACCTATGAGGGAAGATTGAAAAAATTGGGTTTGTTTAGTCTGGAGAAGAGAAGACTGAGAGGGAACATAATAACAGTTTTCAAGTACATAAAAGGTTGTTACAAGGAGAGGGAAATAAATTGTTCTTCTTAACCACTGAGGATAGGACAAGAAGCAATGGGTTTAAATTGCAGCAGGGGTGGTTTAGGTTGGACATTAGGAAAAACTTCCTGTCAAAGTGGTTAAGCACTGAAATAAATTGCCTAGGGAGGTTGTGGAATCTCCATCATTGGGGATTTTTAAGAGCAGGTTGGACAAACACCTGTCAGGGATGGTCTAGATAACACTTAGTCCTGCCATGAGTGCAGGGGACTGGACTAGATGACCTCTCGAGGTCCCTTCCAGTTCTATGATTCTATGAACAACTCAAGAAAGGAAAGACTCAGGTGAGAAATTTTCTTTGAGGGCAAGTCTTCAACTCGGATGTTAAAAGTAGTACAGCATCCCAGAAAGGAGGATCAAATATGGTATGTACATATAGCCACAACCTGTGACTGAGACACATGAGGAGAGGTTACTGAAGCATTACTTGCTGTAGCACTCTCGTACCAAATAATGTGTTCATCAACAAGTGGATATCTAACCTCCATCTCAAAAAGGAGAAGACAATCCTCTACAGATCTCTTCATGAGGTGCATGAATTGTTTCTGCCCAGGGCACAGCAGTTTCCCCTTCGGAAGTAAGCAGTAATCGCTCTGGGGAGAGCTAGTTTCTTTACCTTATAAGCCTCTCCAATATAACCTTGATCTATCTGCTGCCTCACTTGCAAATCCTATATCATTCTGTAGATTTTCTTCTTGGAATCTAAACCGCATCTCACAAGATCTAAACAAGACCCAGCTCAAACCACTAACAACAGCATCCCTATATATTTTGTCTATAAAAGTGTCTTTCCTGGTCATGATCATCTACACCATAAGTACCTCTGAACTAGGAGTGCTTTCTAGACAGTGAACATACTGGACCAGAAAAGCTAGCCCTATATGCTGACTCAATTTTTGGAATAAAAACAAACATTCCATTCCCTAGAGCCTAAGAAATTATCCTACTCTCTTTCTGCTCTATTCCTAAACACCCCCAGTGAATTTGAGTGGCACACTGTGGGTATCAGAAGTGCTATCTGAATAGAACAGAAAGTTATAGAAAGTCTATGCCTTCTTTGTCATTTTTCAATCAGAAGTGAAGGGCAAGAAAAAGCCCGTTCTCTAGCAAGTCAGTTCCAACTAATTTCTACAGTAGGTGTCTCTTTGTTGGCATTGTCCAGAATTTTGGACCCTGAAAGAAGGTCTGTAACAAAAGGAACAATGATAACCTCTTCGCTGAAATTCTGAGGAAGGCAGGGGCTTCGTTTTTGGCAGCTGCCACAATTGCTTCATCTAGAGGCTCCTCAAAGAATTTACCTCCAGTGTACTTAGACACTCATTACATTGTTTGGCCTGCATGCCCATCTTCCAGAGGCAGAACCAAAAGGTGTCTGCAGCTTACAGCACTCAAGGCCATAGACAGAGCAGCAAATCTAACAGAACCCAAGGAAGTGTCTAAGTGAATGAAGCCATCACAATATCTTCTAGCAAACCAATTTCATTTTTTTATTCTTACAGGGAACTGCATCTCAGTGTTCAATTGCCTATGCTATAACACCACCACTGAAGAGCTGAAGCTAAGGTCTCATCGTTTTGTCTGAGAGACAATTCTGTTCTCCTAGCCTTTGGTTCTTGGGCAGAAATATCCCTTCCAAAGGAACCAGCATATCCTTATGCAAACTTTGGAAGCTGCCTGTTAGGTGTATGCCTCACTCAGGCACTCCCATTCCTCTCTGATAACATCTTCAAGGGAGGTATACAGAAGAATGCAAATCTCCTTCTTGGATTGGGAAGGAAAGTACATATTGGTGAAGTGGATGTCCCTATTACCCTGATCCGTGCTTCTGCCAGGGACAATTGAATCCCAAGCATAAATAGGTCCTTTCATAGTATAGCCTCAAACTCCTGAGGAGGAAAATGTCTGTCTTGGATTTCTTCCTGATCAGATGCAGACAAGCTATCTTTCCTCCTCTGAGAACACCCGAGGATTACTAAAACTAGACCCTTTTCTTTGGGCTTGTGACTACAAGAGTGATGATCTGAGTAAGATCTTTTCCCTGACTGCTTGCTTCTGTTAGAACAAAAGCTTTAGAACCCAACAGTTGCTACTCAGGGGAGAGGAGAAGTGGGAGGGAAAGGCAGGCTCACACCTGTCTGAACACAGATCAACTTAAACTCTTCTGGAACGGCTAGAACTGGGGGTCTTGGTCTTTGGAGTTATAGGGGTCAACAGATGTGCAAACTTTGATTGCAGGCATTTTCCTCTTTAAACAAAAAATGTTTGGCCCCTGAATTAGTCAGTTTTGCCTTTGAAGGCTGCAGGCCCTTATTGGAAATCAGAGGTACCTGGAAGGTTTCAGCCTCCCCTCAGGAATGATCAGGTGGCTCAATGATTATCTTTGGGGGGGCTCACTGCAAGGGAGCAGGATGACTGAATGGAAATGGAGAAGCCTTAAAAGGGAAGGAAAGTGAGGCGTGGTAAGGGACTGTTTGACTGATAACCTAGGGGCACACCGTATGTATGCTTCCCAGAGGAAAACAGTACCGGTGTCATTTATTCAATGCGCACAACCTCTCCCTCTTGTGGTTTATGTTTGCTTGTGCTTTAAATTTACAGGGGAACTCCGTTTATCCAATCTAATTGGGGCTGGGCTGTCAGCCCCGGGCTACTGGTGGTTCAGTTACTACAGAGAGAGGGATAATGGAGTCTCAGATACATAGGGCTCTAGTGTGTGTGTGTGTGTGTGTGTGTGTGTGTGTGTGTGTGTGTGTGTGTGTGTGTGTGTGTGTGTGTGTGTGTGTGTGTGTGTGTGTGTGT